AATTAAGAAAAAACAGGCCGTTTTTGCTCATTTCTGCCCTCTCCAGCCCCAGGAGCACTCTGGAAGCCTCCTAAAAGCTATGCATGGCCATTTTGGTGAAGGGGGCGGAGTTTTGGGAGGCAAAAAATGCTGTATTCAGTGTATAAAACGCACCCAGATTTTCACCCTCTTTTTTGAGGGAAAAAGGTGCGTCTTATACTCCAAAAAATACGATAAGTAGGAAATTGGCCTTGTTATCACATCACTCTGCTAGAAGCGAGAGACCCGTGTCCTAAGGCAGGGAAACAATGACTCCTATTAAAATTAAGAAATCTGCATGTATCACATGATAAATTTGGACATATAAAGCTTTCCAAATATTTTGGTGTCTGAATCTTCCCACTAGCTGGTTAGAGGTAGAAGTTGAAAATCAACCTCTTGGCAGGACCAGGTTGGGGGAAGGATGGTATATGCTTAAAATGAAACCTCTAAGACCCACACTGCTGTGGGAAATGCAGTGTCCTGCCTGCAGAGCTTGTAAATTTCTATTTCCTCCCTCACAGCTATGAAAAAGAAAACGAATTTCCGTCCTCCTTGACAAGCACGCATTGTCTCATGAGGGAGAAGACTTAAGGTTCTATTGCCATGTTTTCAGTCTTGGCCACTCTAAGATGTGATGCCTTCCACTCCCAGAATTACCTATAGAGCCGGTTGACTGAAGCATTCTGGGCGTTGAAGACCACACGTCTTAAAGTTACCTAGATTGAAAAAGAACCGTTCTAGTTCTACAGAGTAACAAAAGATTTTTCTTCAGGAATTATTTCCTCCGTCGTTCTGCTGTTTTCATTGAAATCTTTTTGTTTCTCTGTTCCAGGAAGATCAAGCCCCAAAGCAGGATATTTCTCTACTCTAAGGACTGTGTGAGTGTGGTGTAAGAAAACAAGGGGTCCTTGGTGCTCTCTGGGCTTGGTTGTTTTCTGGCAGATGTTTCATTATCCAACTAGGTAACACCATCAGGGCTAGTCTCCTGAGACTAGAAAAAGAAAACAGGGCTACTGAGTTTGCCTAATCACCTTCTCCTTCCTGCCCAATTGCAAATATTAATAATAGCTAGCTTTAGAGTCCAAAGACTCGCAGCAGGCAACATGCAGGTGTAGGAAATTGTAAGACACTCCTGGAAAAAAAAGAAAGGAATTCCAACAGTGAGTTAAATGCTGGCAGGGTGGGATCTGTTCAGCTTCAGGGCACTCAAAAGGGACACACTACCTAAGGTAAAGGTTCCCCTCGCACATATGTGCTAGTTGTTCCTGACTCTAGGGGGCAATGCTCATCTCTGTTTCAAAGCCGAAGAGCCAGCACTGTCTGAAGACGTCTCCGTGGTCATGTGGTCAGACACCCTTGGTTTAGGTGAGTGTTGGTGAATTTTTTCGGCGCTGAAATGGGAGTGTGCGTGTGCTGGCGCGTTGGAAACTGGAAGAGCAGCCACCCTGTGTGAATGTGCGCGCAGGGCAGCTGCTCTTCCAGTTTCTCGTGCATGCGTGAATACCGGCCACCTAGTCTTCCAGTTTCTGGCACACATGTTAGCACAAAGACCAGCTGGACAGTGCGTATGTGAG